GACGACACCGAGCTCTGCGCGCCGTGCGAGCTCGACCCCGGCTTCGAGCTGCTGAGCGAGGCGTACTACGACGACGACGGTGAGCGCCTCGACCCCGACGCCGCCCGCGAGGGGGATCAAGAGGGAGGCGAACTTCATGGGGCCCCTCGGCGTCGGTGAGGTCGCGGCGCGCCCCCGCGACAAGATGGCGTGGGGCACGAGGTGGTGCCACCGCAAGAAGGGTGGGGGGGTTCGCAGCAGGTTCGTCGTGAAGCAGTTCAGGGACGCCCAGGCGGGGGACTACTTCGCCTGCACCCCGCGCACGGAGGCTGTGCGCGTGCTGATGGCGGCGGCGCTGATGCTCAAGCACATCATCGTGACGACGGACTTCAGCGTGGCGTTCATGCACGCGCCCGTGAAGGGCGGCACCGAGATCTACGTGGAGATGCCGCCCGAGTACGGCATGGGGCGTGGGTACGTCTGGAGACTGAAGAGGTCTCTGTATGGGCTCAGAGAGGCAGCGCTCCGATTCCAAGAGTTCCCGGAGAGCATCGCGGTCGGCATTGGATTCGAGGTCTGCAAGGCGGAGCCCACCATCTACCATCACACCGAGAAGGGCATCAGGGTCGTGGTCCACACGGACGATCCTCTTGCCTCAGGTCCCACGCGGGGCGCGATCGACGAGTTCTTCGACGAGTTGGCCAAGCACTTCGCGATCAAGGGACGGCACGTCCTGGGCGAGTCTCCCGTGATCTACCTCGGCTCGTCGCTGCAGAGGTTCGGGGACGTGATCGTGGAGAAGAGCATGCCCGGGTACGTCGAGAGCATCCTCGACGCGGCGGGGATGTCGGGCTGCAGGCCTGTGGGCACGGCTGGGGCCAGGCCAGACCTCACTCAGCCCGGAGCCGAGCAGCCGCTCAACAGCGAGGAGCACTCGCTGCACAGGAGGTGCTGCGGAAAGATCCAGTACGCGGTCCCGCGGAGGCTGGACGTGATGCACCCGCTGAAGGAGCTCGGTCGTCGGCTGAGCGAGCCGCGAGCGGCCGACATGAAGTGCCTGAAGCAATTCCTCCGCTACCTCAGCGGGACGGTCTACCTGGCCATGGTCCACCGCTCAACGAAAGACTTCAAGCGCATCCGAGGTAGCACCGACTCGGACTGGGCGGGATGCCACGAGACCCGCAAGTCGACAGCGTGCGGGATCGTGCGGTGGTGCGGGGTGGTCGTCAGCGCTTACGCCCGCACGGAGTCCGTGCTCGCCCAGTCGAGCCCCGAGGCCGAGTACCTGGCGGCCGTGGAGCTGGTGGCGGAGATGCTGTACGTGAAGGAGCTCGTCAAGTTCATGGGCTTCGACACGTCGCTCGTGATCGAGTGCGACGCGTCCTCCGCCATCGCGATCGCCTCACGGCGCGGGCTCGGCAGGCTGAGCCACCTGGAGGTCAAGTGGCTCTGGCTCCAGCAGCTGGTCGGCACGGGCCAGATCAAGATCGCGAAGGTGAAGGGCACGGAGAACTTCCCCGACGTCGGGACGAAGTTCCTGGGGAAGGCTGCGCTCGAGAAGTGCCGCACCATGCTTGGTCTGGTCCCACTCGACGCCCTCGGGAATGGCATCGTGGCCGCCCTGAGTACGTCCCGAGGAGCACGGTGCCTGGCGACGTTCATGGTCCTCGCGAGCGGCGCGAGGGCTCAGCCAGGCACGCCCGACGGCGGACCTGACCCACACCTGGCGATCGTGGTGGCTTGGTCGGTCTTCTGCATGCTCGTGGGCGTGATGCTGCGTTGGCGCGGTTGGTGCCTGTGCCTGTACCTCCCGAGGTCAGCGGCAGGACGGACGGGCAAGGGCTGCTCCAAGGGCCAGCCCAGTGAGAGTTCGGGGAGGGACCGATCGGAGCCGGAACCCGATCCGCCTTCCGCACCCAGCGCTCCCAGCGATCCTTGCCGGGGGCCGTCGGAGCCGCGTGGCAGAGGCTTGCTGCTGCACCACCTGGACACGGTCGGTACCTCGATCCATTCGAGTCCGATTTGCCAGGCTCTGCGTGATCGGCATCACCCGCTGGTGACGAGAAGCGGGTGCCTGATCTGCGCTCGGGTGCTGGGCCAGGGGGTGCGCATGCTGCACCACGCGGACAGTGTCGAGAGCGCGGTCCACGCCGACGCCGCCTGCCGCGGGTTGAGGTCGCGGAGGCGCCGTCTCGTGAGCCGCGGAGCGTGCGCGTTCTGCTTTGGGCACCGTGGCTAGCGCCTGCCCCGCTGCGCGTGCGCCCTCGGCAAGAGGCTCGAGGAGGGGTGTCGAGATGTATCGCCCCCGACGCCCTTCCGTGCCTCCCCTGCATATCCCTTTCCCGCTCTCTCCCATGCACTGTACTGAAGCCGTTTTGGCTCGGAGGATTTGAGAGTGATACGGATCGGCATCGTTTATTGTTGTCAAGACAAACGCACACCCACACTGAGACATTCGTTCACCTACAGCCGCACACACACACACATCATTCACATGCACGAGGCACACAAGACACAAGACACGCATGCAGACACACGCGCGTACACGCACAAACTGACAACAAACTGCATCACACACCCAAGAAGTATGCGGCACGTCCAGACCCAGTCGTCCATGAACAGCAGGCGTGACACTTTCTCGACACCATGGGGGTGCGCAGGCGGTGGTCTTTGAGCGCGGCCGTTATGCACGCCTGTCGTCCAGGGCATAGCAGGCCCGGCATTTTCTTCTCGACGCCATAGGGGGATGCGCACGGGGTAATATGTGAGCGCGGCCGCTATGCACGCGGTTCGTGCAGGGCATAGCAGGCGTGGTACTGTCTCGACACCATTGGGGGTGCGCGCGGGGTTGTCTCTGAGCGCGGCCGCTATGCACGCTGGTCGTGCAGGGCAGCAGGCGTGGCTCTTTCTCGACACCGTAGGGGGTGCCCAAAGGGGGATCTCTCAGCGCGGCGGCTACGCAGGCCGGATTTGCAGGGTATAGCAGGCGTGGCATTCTCTCGACACCATAGGGGGTGTGCAGGGGGCGGTCTCTGAGCGCGGCCGCTATGCAGGCCGGTCGTGCAGGGCATTTCAGGCGTGGCATTTTCTCGACACCATGGGGGATGCGCAGGGGGTGGTCTCGGAGCGTGGCCGCTATGCACACTGGTCGTCCAGGGCATAGCACGCGCGGCAGCTTCTCTACACCATTGGGGGTGCGCGCGGGGTGGTCTCTGAGCGCGGCCGCTCCGCGCGCCAATCGTACAGGGCACAGCAGGCGTGGCACTTCTCGACACCATAAGGGGTGCGCACGGGGTGGTCGCTGAGCGCAGCCGCTATGCACGCTGGTCGCGCAGGGCAGATCGGGCGTAGCACCTTCTCGACGCCATAGGGGGTGCGCAGGGGGTTATCTGTGAACGCGGCCGCTATTCGCATCGGTCGCGCAGGGTATAGCAGGCGTGGCACTTTCTCGACGCCGTAGGGGGTGCGCAGGGGGTGGTCTCTGAGCGCGGCCGCTATGCGCGCCGATCGTCAAGGGCATAGCAGGCGTGGCCATTTCTCGACAATTTTGGGGGCGCGGAGAGGTTTTTTTCTGATCGCGGCCGCTATGTACGCCGGTCGCGCAGGGCAAGGCAGGCGTGGCATTCATTTTCTCGACAACATAGGGGGTGCACAGGGGGGTCGGTGTCCAGGGCCTAGCGCGCGTAGATTTTTTCTCGAGGCCACAGGGGCACGCAAGCGGGGGGGGGCGCTATCATCATCACCATTATCTTCAAGAACTGTAGCCACCCTGGCTCATGCAGGCTCAGACTACTCGATACGTGAACGCGGACGACCGCCGGTGACTCTGCGTCAAATGTACGATCCCTGTTATGGCGCCCAAATGCACCATGTCCACGCTGCCACCGCCGTGCGAGCAGCTCACGGAATCAATGCTAAGGATGGGCGCCGAGGTGAAGCTGGATGGTTTGCGCGGATTTGTTGTCAGGTATTGGAACGCCTTGGTGCACAGCGCATTCGATGCTTACCACAGACAGCGGATGAACAATTGGCTTGAGATGCTCCCCGCTAGGTGCAATGTGTTGCCGCGCAAACGAGGCGCCGATGATGCAAGGAGGCAGTGTTTGGTGAGGTACCTGCAGGACGCTCTCTCTAGTGGATTTACACGCGACGCTTCTCCTGATTTGCCGGGGAGAAGGGGGCGGATGGAGGCCCGCCGCTCCCGATGGCTCGGCGAGCGCAAGAGGTCGGCACCGTTGGCGTTGACCCGGCGCCGTCCCCAGGACAACGCGACATTCTCATGAAGACCGCGCCCGCGAAGGCCACGCCAACAATGGTTTCGCCCGCGCAGGCTTTCACCCCGCAGCGGCCTCCCGCAGTTCTGTTTGCTACCTCTGTTCGGTCCACGGGCACGCCTCGCGCGCAGCTGTCCCGAGAGCCGCCGACCGCCCTTGGTCGCAAGGGGCCGCGGCCGCGGGATTTGCCAGGGCCACTTCAGCTCGAGAACTTGTCGCCGAAAGCGGATGCGAAAGCAATCGAGCGGCGCGCTGAGTTCGCGGTCGAGCTGTTAATCCGGAGCGCTGGCCTTCGAGGGACGGCTTCAGAGCAACGGCCGCCAGCGGCACTCTCGCAAGTTTCAATTCGACGATCATCGCGCCAGATAACTTAGACGTATGTGGGGTTCCTCGGTGGCGTCATTGTTACACTGTGGGGCATACCGCGCGTCATCCCTATCCCCCCCTCTCCCCCTCTCCCCCTTCTTATGCCGTAGCGTTTCCCCTCCGGTGCACTAGCAGAACTGCCGCAGTGCCTCGCGCCACGGCCAGCGACGGCAGACCCACGCGGCTGGAAGGGGTCGCTGCGTCGTGCCCCCCCCCGCCCCCCCCCTTCCCCCATAGAGCTCCGGTTGTCGCCGCGCATAAAACATTGCGTTTCCATTCGTCCGCGCACGTGCCTCGGACCATGACTTGCGAACCCCCCTCTTTGACGACCTTTCTTGGACGTCCCCGATATTGCTGTCTCTGTCCCCTTCCCCCGCCGAGGCGCAGTTTGGCCAGTACGCGGCCAAGAAGCGGCCAAAGTTGTCTTCGGAGGTAAACACCGTCAAGGACTGGTGCGACCGTCGACCTTCTGTTCCCGATCCTGCTTGTCCCGTCCCCATCCCCGTTCGTTGTTTCTCATTCCCTCCCTCCTTCCTCGCCGTTCCCCTTCCCCCTCCCTCCACTCCTCCCCTCCCTTCCCCTCCGTCCCTCCCTCCTCTCTCCTCTCGCGAAGCGGCCAAACTTGTCATCGCATGCGAACGCCGTCAAGGACTGGTGCGACCGTGGGTCTTCCGTTCCCAAGAGCACCGGCGTCGTCGTGCAACCTCGGCCCCAAAATCACATATCCTCCTGGGTGCGATGGTCGATCCTCCGTCAAGTATCGGTGCAAGTCGATCCTCGGTCCTCGACCTTGCTGCTCCCGTCCTTCCCACAACTCGCCCTCCCTCCACCTCCTCCCGCCTCGCTCTGCAGCCCGGTCGAAAACAGCACCGAAAGAAGGAGGTTCGCTGAGATTCCGTGACACGACAGGACGGCCGTTGTTGGCCAGTTTCCGCTTCTGGGCCCAATTCCGTACCCAGGATTTTCAGAAACATTTGGGGATGAACAGCGAGTCTTGGGGAAGTGGTCTAGATGTTCAAGGGTCCGGCTTGCGAGCACAAAATCGGCATCGAATGTTTGTCGGGTGAGACTCGTGTACGCTGGAACTCAAGTTTGCCGATGTTTTTGACGAGCGCGTTTTGGATTTCGACGGTCCAGTTGTCGTGCGATGTATACAGCGGGAGGTCGCCTCACATTTCAGAATGGGTGGCGTCATTTCCATGCCCCCGAACTCGAGTCTGACGTCTCCACGAGTTTGGGTAGATCGGGGGATCGACATGGGGACGGAAATGGGGACGAATGCCAACAGTTGTTCTTGCCCGATGTGGGCAGGACTCGGTGTTGGTAACGCTGCAGACGTTGACTCATTGGGACAAAGTTGGCATGCCCAACAGCAGCTGCTGTTTGTTTTGGGCACCACGTGTTGTTGGGCGTCGTCCCCGTACTTTCCGTCCCGTTCCGGGCGTGCCGACAGGAGTGCGAGAAGTGGCGACAAGAGATTATCCAGGGCGTGGGAAAGAAGATCGCGGAGATCCAGAATGCCAGCCTCGGCGAGCACCGCATTCGCGATTTGAACGATGAGATCAACAAGGACCTCCGTGAGAAGGGCCACTGGGAGACCCGCATCAAGGAGCTCGGTGGCGCGGATTACAAGGCGTCTGAGGACACCAAATACTTCGGATGCAACTCTTGGGAGATTATCTTCAGCATCAGCGCTGGTATATCCCTAGGCGACAAGACGACCGCATCCCGATTCAGCCCGCTTGGTTCGATTCAATCCCGCTTGGTTCGGTCCAATCCCAGGCTGAATCTGCCCTGATGCGGCGTAATGGCCCCTAAGTCTGGATAGCCCTTCATTCGGGTGTTGGTAGAAGTGCCCTTGGCCCAAGGTGCCCTAAGGATTTTCAAGGAAACCCCCACGGCCTCCAGAGCACCCCTCACGAGGCCCAGGGGGCCCCAGGGGCTCCAAGATTGAGCGAGAAGCTGGGGGCACCTTGGGCCAGGGGCACCTTCGTGGCCTGCGACGTTCTTGCACAGGTTTCCAAGGAGCCTGCTCCCGAAAGCTGCAGGCCCACACTGATCCTGGCGGAGCCCTGCCTGTGCCCGGGATCGCCGTGCACAGCTGCGGATCCCGGCCGAGCCACGGGGCCGCAGAATACACACCGCCATCCCCGATGCAGCGCGGCGCGGTCCGACGGGAGGCACATCCCTCTGGCAAATTCGGCGGCGAAATTTCAGAGGCGACGATGGAGGCGAATAGCCCAGGGGGTGAGCAATACATGTATCCAGGGGCGCCGATGATCTATGTCGTCGACAAGGCTCCCGGGCGAATGCGTGCAATGCCCGCCCCTGGGCTATCCGCCCTTCTCGTCGCCGCCGAAACCCTACCCTCGCTGATCACCGATTCGGAGAACTCGATGGGCGGCGGCTTAGCGGGCCCTGGAAACGACAGTGCCGTTTTTCTATACTGGTTCCGCTTTGCCGTCTTTGCTCGCCGTCTTTGCTCGCCGGTTCCCGCGCCGTTTTGTTTGCAGGTTCCGTCCCCGTTTTTCTCTGGTTCCGATTATTGTTCCAGTCCCAGAGTTGTTTTTCCCAATCAGAACATGCCTCTCTAGGGGTCCTAGCGGATTCGTATGGTTAGGCGAGGTGTGTTACCGATTTCCGCGGCCCGCCCGGGTGCCCGGGTGCTTTATGGCCGTATAGCCGTATAGCCTTGCAGCCCCATAGCGTTATAGCCCGATAGCCCTACAGCCCAATAGCCCGATAGCCCTATAGCCTTGTAGCCTTATAGTCCTATCACCCTAGGGCCCTGGAGCTCTAGAGCTCTATTATCAATCGCCCCATAGCCCTATAACCCTATAGTCCTATAGCCCCATAGCCATGTATCTCTACATGTCTATAACCCTATAGCCCCATAGCTCTATAGCCCTATGGTCCTATAGCCCTACAGCCCCATAACCATATAGACTCATAGCCCTATGGTCCTATAGCCCTATAGCCCCACAACCCCAGAGCCCCAGCGCCCCAGAGCCCTATAGCCCTACAGCCCTATTGCCCTATTGCCCTATAGCCCTATAGACCTATAGCCCTATAGACATATAGCCCTATGGCCCTATAGCCCTATAGTTCCATAGCCCTATATCCCCATCGCCCTATAGCCCCATAGCCCTATAGTTCTGAAAAGACTTTGATCGGGGGTTTTCTCCGGTATCATTCTGTCGTTTTGTGGTCGTCGTTCTTGGGTTTACCGTTTCCGTTTTCAAGGGGCATTTGTTCGAAAACGGTGAAAATACGGCCCTGCCGTTTTCGGGGCCCACTGAGGGGCGGCGGGGGCGGGCTTCGGAATTCGTCGAACATGTGGCGCAATCCGAAAATCTGCCCCCGCCTCTCATAGGTTCAGGAGTGTCGATGGTCGGTTGGGGTAGGGTTTGGATGCGTCGCCATCTACAAGCGCTGCAGCGAGAATCCCTCGTCCTGCCCAAGGGGGGCCAGGACAGCAACAACATGCATAAACATCAACAGTCGGAGCTCCGCGCGGATGTCTTCCATGGGCGTTGGATACCCCTGGCGGCGCGTTCGGCGCCGCTTGTAGCGCGCCCCAGCGCGCCGGCGAGGGGGTCTTGCGGAGATCCAAGCTCATACTCTATATTAGATACGTGTTAGGTTTTTTAAACCTCTCTACTAGAAACGTGGTAGGTATTAGTCCTGATGCTGTTGGTGTACTGCCGCGTCCAGGGCCACGTTGGCGTCGTGAGCTGTTGTCATGACCCTCCGTCCAAGATGCGCAGGATTCCAAGCCTTCCAGGATGTGTTGATGTCACCAAATCCAGGCCCAGGGTTCCAAGCCTCCAACATGGTGTCTTAGTACGCGGGGTCGGGAGGTCGCGCCGCATCCCCGTTGCATCGGTGATGCGACTCGATTCGGAGCCCAAACTTCTCCACGGCGATGTCTCCGATGCATCGCCGCTGTCACCGATGCATCGGCGGTGCATCAGCGATGCGGCGCGATCCTCTGACCCCATCTGCTCAGACCCCGTGTGTGAGGCCTCTAAGAATGGGCCTGGGCAGGGTCGGTATGTAGGTGTGCTTACGGCGTCCTCTGGCAAGGCGTCAGGGCCGCAGACGACGGAGGTCTACGGCGCCGAGCTGGCCTCGCACGCGGGGTACAAGTATTTTGGCGCGGCGAAGGACCTACCGGGCGTGCGGGAGCTGTTCGAGACGGAGGTGGTCGGCTACACGTAGGAGTGACCCTTCGTTGGAGTGCTTTTTGGTGCGGGTGCACCAGAGTCTGCCGATCGCTGCACGCGATGCGCTAGCAGCGGCTGGCGCGCTTGAGCTTGGCTCCCCCACGAACCCCACAAGTCCGCGCACCAAAGGTCAGTCTTGCCTAGGGTCACTCATGCGTGTAGCCGAGGTGGTCGCGGAAGCGCCCCGGAAGACTAGAAAACAGCTCTTCAAGAATATCCAGCCAGATTATTATGGGTGGCGGGACGAGGAGGACGTCGGTGGAGAAGCGCACACCAATATCGATGCGCCTTGCCTCCTTCTCGCCTTCTCGTGCCTCGATTCGCCACAGAATCTTGGTCAGATGCCTCGAGGAGAGTTCCAGGCAGCAGCGATATCGGTATCTGCTTGCTCCCCCAAGAGGACGGAATGCTGTTGTTAGCCGAGCAGGGGTTCGAATTGGAGGCAGTTCAGAAGGAGGTAGCGAGATGGAATGCTGAGACCAAGAGTAAGAAGGCCAGGGCAGCAGAGGATGAGGGCGACGATGCAGCGGAGGCCAAGGCGGCCGCAGAAGCGAAGGCCCCGCCGGCGACGCAGCCTCCACCAGAGATACCAGCAGCCAAGGCAGTGGCCGACTTCAAGGCCTACGTAGATGTGCCGACCATGGAGGACATCGAGCGGCTCATCGTGAAAAAGAAGAAAGAGGCGTTGCTCAAAAAATACATTACGCCTGACATGCAGCGCGAGGTCAAGGAGTCGAGCGAGCTCTTGACAGGTGAAGCAGCCGCTTCCGCACCGAAGGGCGACTCCAAGTAATGGCCACATTGATCGCAGCAGCATGGGAGCGCCACAAGGAAGTGACACTTTCATAGCGTCGTCTCAGCTGTGAGCGGTGTCGCTGGTGGCCAAAAATAAAAGCTTGGGGTCGTTGGCTTTGCGCGAATGCAACTGCAAAGCTGCGGCGCGCGACGAACATATGCTTGCGCGCCTTTGGTATTTCTTCTCCTCCAGCGTTGTTCTGAGTGTGTCCCCTTTGATTCGCGGACGGTGCAGTGGGACTGTTGCTTTCTTCGATCACGTGTTTTATCATTCCCTGCCGTGGTTTTGACCTTCGCTGATACTCGCTCTCTCTTGTTGGCCTCATCAGTTTTCCCTGGCCCCCACTGCTGGTCAACATAATAGTTTCTTCCACATTGGTCTTACTTTGCCCCCTGTTGGTTTGATACTCCTTTCCCCAATGGAGGGAACAACCCGGTTTGCATTTGTTGATCGCTTCGCTCTTTCCGCCAGCCCGTATTGTGCCATCGCAGGCGTTTGTCTGCGCGCGTTCGTGGCCTAGTGGAGGCCGTTTGGGGACCACTTGGAGCCTCTTTTTACGATGGCTTGTTGGATCGAGGCGTGATATGGTAGCGATGCAGAGGAGTGGGAGGAATGGGAAGCTGATTGTACCGTCTTGATGATTTATTGTAGCGCGTTCCGTTCGAGGATTGAGGTTCGTTGAAGCAGAGGGGGGAGGTGGAGGAGGGGGAAGAGGGGAACAGAAGGAGGAAGAGGAGGAGGAGGAGGAAAAGGAGGAGGAGGAGGAGGAGGAGGAAAAGGGGAGGATAGGGATGAAGAGGAGGCCTCTCGATCCCTGTCTTGATGTCTTACTGCAGCGCTGTTCGTTCGTGGATTGAGGGTCGTTGACGCAGAGGGGGGAGGAGGAGGAGAGGGAAGACAGAAGGAAGGGTTGGCCAGACGATAGGAAGGCCTCTCGGGGGCCTCTTGGCGGTATTCCTGGGACCTCCTGGGGCGTCATGGGGGCCTTTGTGGGGCCTCTTAGGGGTCTCTTGGGGCCTCTCGGGGGCCTCTTGTGGCCTTCTCGCGGCCTCCAGGGGACCTCTCTGCGACTAGAGCTCGACATGTCCGTTCGGGTCCCTCGTCTGGACCTGCTCTTGGAGCCGTCTTAGGAGACTCTTCAGCCATCTTGGAAGCCTCTGGGGCTGTCTTGGGGCCCTCTGGAACCGTTTTGGGCGCTCTTGGAGGCCTCTTGGGCCGTGTTGGGGCGATCCTGGAAGCCTCTTGGGCCGTCTTGGAGCGACGGTAAGCCCCCAAGGCGAGAACGCCAAAAACCTTCAACAACTGAAGGAAGCTCACTAATGTCTGCCTCTGTGGGCCCTCTTGGGAGGTCTCTTTGAGGCCTCTTGGGGCGTCTTGAAGGCGCTTTGGATTGTCTGGAGTCTGGAGGCCATCCTTGGCGTCTTGGATCGCATTGGGGCCGTCTCGGGCCATGTGAGCTCTCTTGGAGGTCACTTGAAGCGCTCCTGGAACGCTCTTGGGAGCCTGCTGGGACATTCCTGGTACCTGCCGGGGACCTTGCGGGTACCTTGGCGGGGCTTTGCCGGGGTATTTTCGTCCGGGGACCCCCAGGGGCGGCCCTGCGCGCGCGAACTAGAGCATTGTTAACCAGTCACTGGAGATCTTAGCACGCCTTTGGCCAGTTGGGCCGGCGAAATGGCGTTTATTGAAAAGCCACGGGAGTTTGTTTTTAGCAGTCTATTTTCTTCGGTGCGTTTCTAAATGGCTTCGCTTGTAATTGGGATAATCGATCATGGACCCCTTGTTAAGTGCAAGCGTCCAGATGTCACGCCGAAGACCGCGGGAAACCGCCGAAGGTTGTGGGAAACCGCCGAAGACCGCGGAAAACCGCCGACGACTGCCAGAAACCACCGGAAGACCGCCGAAGACCGCCCAATTCAGAAGGGTAGCAAGGGATCCATGATCGAATAGGTGTGTTTACCGAAGACGCCTACGGCGAGGGACCGCCGGCACCAGTCTTTTAGGATACGCCTATGCGGCCAAACGTTTGGGCAATGTTTGGCCACGCTATTGGACCATGCGTTCCCCCAGCCGTTGTGGAAGCCCTTCGTGGTTCACGTGGGGGAGGAGGAGGAGGAGGATGAAGAGAGGGAGGATATAGAAGGGTGAGGAGAAGGATGAGGATACCTCCTGGGAGCTTCTTGGGGGGCCTCTTTAGCCGTCTTACGGCGATCCTGGCCCGTCTGACGCCGTCGGAAGCCGTCTTGGGAGCCTCTCTGCGCCTTCTCGGGTTCCTTCTTGGGGCGCTTCAGGGTCCTCTTGAAGGCCACTCTAGACGTCTTGGAGGCCTCTTGAGCCGTCTTGGGGCCCTTTTCGGGTTCGTCTTGGGAGCCTCTCGGGCCAGCCTGCGCTCTCGAGGCAATCCTGGGGGCCTCTGGGGCCGTCGTGGGCCGCCCGTATGCCGTGTTGAAGCAAGTGCCAAAATCCAGTCAACAGCCTAAGGGAAATCAAAGGTTTGGCCTCCTCGGGCCTTCTTGAGGGGTCTTGGGCTCTCTTGGAACATGTTGGCGGTCTTGAAGGCATCTTGGGACCGTCTTGAAGGCCATCTTGGAAGCTATCTTGGGATCTCTTGGGGCCATCTTGGCACGTGCTGGATGCATGTTGGAGACCATCTTGGGCCATGTTAGCCGTGTTGGATATAGAGGGGTGTGTTTTCCCGGCTTTCTGGGTGGCCGGCGGGCTGCCGAAGCCCTACGGGAAGTTCGTGCACCCGTGAGGGAAGACCACAGGGGGCCGCCGATCGAATGGCCGTTGGCCCATCCCGCCCGCGCCTGGGTTGTAGGGCAGAGGCCTTTGGGATGCTTGTGGAGATCTCTGGGGGGGGCCTCTCGGTAGCCTCTTGGATCCTGTTTTGGGGTATCTTGGGGGGCCTCTCGGGGGCCTCTGAGGGGGGTGGCGTTTTGTTTCGATCGTTGTTGCGTTCGTTCGCTCTCTTTTTGTTTCGCTTTTTTTTTCGCTCGTGTTTTTGCTGTTCGCTCGAGTTTGTTCCGCTCGAATGTGGTTTCGCTAGTTTTTTTGTTCGCTCGTTTTGTTCGTTCGAATTGTTTTTACTGCTCGGCTTCGTTTCGCTCGTTTTTTTCGCTCGTTGTTTTCGCTCGGTTTGTTTCTCTCGGTCTCGTCTCGCTTGGTTTTCGCTCTGGCTGCGTTGGTGCAACCGAGCGAATTTAAACCCGAGCTAAATTAAACCGAGCGAAGTTAAGCCGAGCGGCATTAGGCAGAGCGAAATCAAGCCATAACGAATTTAAACACGAGCGAAATTAGACCGAGGGAAATTAACCGAGCGAAATTAAACCGAACGGACTTATACCGAGCGAAATTCAACCGAGCGAATTTAAACCGAGCGAACCTAAATTCGAGCGAGTTTCACTCCGAGCGAATTAAAACTCGATCGTGCTGAAATCCCGTGTGGCAGGTTTTTGTTGCAAGGTGTTTGGGACGTTGTTTTTGAAGGTATGTTTGAAGATGTTTGGAAGGTTTGTTGGTTTGTTTGTCAAGGTTTGGGAGGTTTGTATGCGTTTTTCTGAAGGATGTTTGAAGGTTTTGGAAGGTAGTTGGAAGGTTTGTTGTTTTTTTGTTTTTGTTGTGTAAGGTAGTTGGAAGGTGTTTGCATGGTTTTCGGACTGTTTGAGATGATCCTGGTAAAGTTTGGAAAGTTGGTGGCAGGTTTGGAAGGATGTTGCAAGGGTGTTGGAAGGTGTTTGGAAGGTTTTCGAAAGGTTTCTGGTAGGTTGTTTGGAAGGTTTTGTGGAAGGTTGTTGGAAGGTTTCGCTGAGACACGGGCCTGGGCACGTGAAAGGTTTTGGAAGGCCTGGGCACGTGAAAAGAAGGATTTCACCTGAGACATCCTCTGAATCCAGGCCTCCAACACAAGCGTTTCGCTCGAATCATCCTCAACAAATTCTGCAAAACAAGCGTTTCGCTCGAGACAATCGCGACAGACGCAAATGTTCACCTATACGACCACCCTGCGGGTGATAAGGAGGTTGGGGTAGGGGGAGGGGACCCTTAAGAGCCTGTTCCGCAAACGTTCGTACTGGGAGCCTTCGTGTTCAGAGATTGTTGCGTTGCCGCTCGCTCTTGGCACAGCATACAGCACCAGCACGGGATTTCTATGTGCCTTACGATTTGCATTTGCATTTGTTTATCGATGTGCATGTCGATTTGCTTTTCGATCTGCATTTCGATCTGCATTTCGATTTGCATCTCACTATCGGTCTCACTATCGATCCCCCGATCGATCTCACTATCGACCTTACTATCGATCTCACTCGGTCGATCTCACTATCGGTCTCACTCGATCGATGTCACTGTCGATCTCACTCTCGATCTCGTTTTCGATCCCACTATCGATCTCACTATCGATATCAATCCATCGATCTCACTATCGATATCACTATCGATATCACTCCATCGATCTCACTAGCGATCTCACCATCGATCCCTCTATCGATCGCACTCGATCGATCTCACTATCGATCTTACACAATCGATCGCACCATAGATCCCACTATCGCTCTCACTATCGATCCCACAATCGATCTCACCCTCGATCTCATTCGCAGTCGATCTCACAATCGGTCTCACTATCGGTCTCACTATCGTTTTCGCACAAGCGGGACACCAGGACACCAGCGGGACATTGGCGGGACACCGGCGGGACACCGCGCGGCCCCGTTTGCCAATCGGGAAACATTTGGTCCGGCCACGCCTCAGCCACAGGGGATTTACCGGGACACCAGCGGGACACCGGCGGGACACCGCGCGGCCCCGCTTGCCGGGGGGGGAATCATTTGGTCCGGCCGCGCCTCAGCCACAGGAGACTTTCTTCTCGCCCGCCCACGCAGTTTCGCCTCGCACGCACGCACGGCACGCACGAACACGAAACCGAAACCGATTTCCTGGTGGGGGGCTCTCCGTGCCACTTCGATCTCAACCCCCAACCTCCGATTTTACCAAGT